CACTTATACGCATTTCCTCAAAAAGCTTGTGGTAACTTATTTTACTGACAGCAAACATTTTTTTTATCAATCAATATCAAACAAAACACAAAATATCCTTTCAATTTAAACCCGGTTTTCATGAAAAGCACTGAAGGATCTATGTGCTGCTCAATGAGGTAGTTTCAACTAGTATCTCCATAACAGATATTTCAAGAGTTCCAAGAAGATGTTAAAGGAAAATAATGTTTGTTTTGCCTCTTCCTGCGTATGTGGGGCAGCAGGGTTATTTTAGCACTAAAAACAATTTTCCTAAAATATTTATCTTTGTTTTCCACCTTTTTGCGGCACATGGTTTGTTAACTCTGAAACACAAACTAAGGATGGAAGAAGCTATCCAGAGAAGCTGATGAAGCTGATACCCTGGCTTCTTTCATGATACCGCTGCATGAGATCCTAGCATCAGTTAGCTGCTAACTACCAAATGAGCTGGATAGGCTGAATGGCCAGATGGCTTCTCGTTTGTAACCGTTCTTATGTAAGCTGTGTACTGAATGAGATGATAACACCAAAAGCCTATTCTTAGTCATATTGCTAAACCCATAGTTTTTTTTCCTATGAAACTCAATTTTCGTGTAATAAGGTCTTCTGAAAGCATCATTTTCTGCTGATACTGGTCACATTTTCATGAAATCCACCCAAACAAATAGTATTTACTGCACAGCAAGGTGATGGCCAGTTACCCTCAGAGAAAATTACTGTTCTATCCAATTCTTAACAGTCAAAAATCTGGGAGGATAAAAGCATCCCTAAACACAGATATTGCTGTGGAGAGAACAGATAACAAACCATGTGAAATGATTCTAAATGGAGCCTATCTCTTTAACATAACTGAAAAAATGTTACCCCCCTAATTAAGGATCCATCCACACAAACCTGTCTCTTCGGAAACAGCATCAGAACAGTTACCTGATAAAAAAAAATGTTCAGACTGTTTTTCAAAGGACATAGTTAAAAATATTAATAGTAAGACAGTAGCTTGTCCTGTAGTGTGGAATGCAGAAACTTTTATTATCTGAACCTTTGTCCAACAGGGCTTAAAAAGCACAAGAAATGTAGATCTGTTTTCTTTGTTTTTATCCATTTCCCTCCTGCTTTCAGAGGTCAGTTACACAAAATAGCTGAAATGATGCAGCCTTTTAAAAAAAAAACTGATGCTGTTTTTGTCTTGTTTACAGGTTATTTAAAGGTAGGACAGCATACTGGGAAGTGCAGTACCATAATTATTTAAACAACACTGGCAATGGCTGTGGAAATAAACGGAAGTTTTGCATTATTCAGTTTCAAGTACTTTGTCAACCTTCACTCCAACATCTCCCTATTCCATATTATGCATCAGGAACCACAGAAAATGTCAAACAAAACTGATTAAGGTCAGATGACAAGAGACATTATGTTTATTATTATTCCTAGCAGACAAGTGTACCTTGTAAGTTTTCACATTACCTTGAATTTTAATTATTTGCTTATACTTTTATTATACAGATATTGGGAATTATGATTTATATACTGTACAGCTTTGCAAAACGTAATCCACTCATTCGGCAGAAACGTTCTTCATGGAATCTGACTGAATCATCATTGCCCAGGTGTTTCAAAAACCATCACTGAATACAAAGATGATGAATTATTCATCTCACACACCAGAATTAATTTAGTAACTCAAAGGGAGCTGAACATTCCCCTCTCAGAATTATCTCCTCAACAGATTTGGGTTTTACAAACACAAAACAAGGCAATAATTTTAATCAAACAGACTCTTTTGGCAAAATGCACATAATTCTGGGAAAATCACATAGTATTTGTTGGTTTGGAATTTCTGACTTGCACATACTGGTCCATGAGCATCATAGGAAGCAGCTGGGCCCTCTGTTAAAAACGTGATTGCTAGAGAGAGAACATGAACAGATCCTAACATGCCACTTGCATTCCACCTTATCAAGACCCAGCTGCTTCTGTAGCCACAGAGAGAGCCTTTTCAGCACGAGCCTTTTCAGCACTTACACTGTTGTCTTTCCCACAAACATGCCAACAATAAATAATGCACACAATGTCATACAAAATTAAAGACATTGCTGGAAAAGTAATCAATAGCAAATTAGTTCAGAAAAGCATCACTTTATGTGGGAACAAGTATATAGGTTTATTCTACGCTGAAAAGAGAAGAAGGAAAACACTATTTATCGGCTGTGGAGCCTTCTTCACACACCTGAAGAAGGCTCCACAGCCGAAACACTGCCTTTTCTTTCTTCTCTTTTCAGCATGAAATAAACCTATTACTTGTTCCTTTGCAGCCTACGCATGCTGACGCAGCTACCCTCCTGAATCCCTTTATATATATTTTTTTATTTGATGGCATCAACACACACAGGGATGGTTGTAGTTTTAAGTTATAATGTAAGGGTGCACATATTTTGTTGTCATTTGCTTATTAAAAAATATCTACATGTATAATGAAGTATGGATGTTCAAATGTTTTTTAACCAATTCTTATGTTATTCTAAATACCTATGTTCTTCTTATTTTTGTACTACTTTATATTGTATTATTACAGCCTATTTGGTGTTTATAGGGTAACTAACCATTTTAATGAGCATTCAAATGCCGTATTGATTTAAAATACAATATTCAAATACCTAATTATTTATTAATTAATTATTAATTATTTTGAATTAATAGTATACTACAATGCGGAATTGAATTACTTTAATCCACTTATCTCCATGATAAAGTTTCATTTTTTTCCTTCTCCAAACAATATTTGTATTAAAGAACTAATTTAAACAACAAATCTGTCACAAGCAATGAAAACAAAACAATGTGCTTGTTAACTAACACATTGACATAGCAAAAACAGACAAGCTTTTATCTTCCCTCCTGTTCTGAAAAGGCTGTGTGAGTCAAGTGTGAAATTGGGTGTTCTCTGTTCTAATGCACGCCAATAATATAGTTCGGTATCTTCTATAAAATAAAAGCAATACAAGCAAAGGTCTATAATTTTGGAAATTAAACTTTTTTAACCTTTAAAACATATTGAATAATAACAATTTACAACAGCCCTTTATCTAAATTACATGAGCAAGAATAGAGGAGTTAGCGGTGAATTCTAATTAACTGGAATCAAACTCATGAAACACAATTTAACCATCAATTCAACTATAACTGATTTCTAATCCAACCATACAACTTTAAAAATCAACAATGATGTACCTTTTAGACTGGTTAAAATTTGATTTAATTGTGTTGAACAAAAAGTAAGTTTTTTTTTTGAGCCAAAAAATATAACAGATACAGTATTATATCCCATTGATCATTCCTATTAATCTTATGATCACACAAATTGCTTGCCTATAGCAAAGATTAATTTTGACTTTGTTGCCCCAATGCTTGTATAAAGCTCTGTATGTTTGCAAGGGAAATATGCGATATGGATATGTCAGTAATCTGTTCCTTATATAATAATATATGATAAACAAAAAGCAAATCTGGTTATAATTCCATAAAGTAGATGGCATCAAAAGCTATTTTCAGAAACTCAAATGCCTATCACATCAGAATCTCTTAAATTTCTGCTATTACTCAGCCTAACTCAAATATTGGGCTTTTAAGCTTTTGATGCATATGACTCAAAATGTAGTCAGGGATGTTACACAAAGACCTTTCACGATGAAAAACAAAAACAAAATGTCTCTTTCATGAAACTCAGATTTCCTATGTGAAAATGAATATAACAGATTTGTATAATGTCAATCGTAGTTTATGCATGACCTTCCTATAATAAAATATTTACTATATGACCAGCAAAGCTTACATAACACAGATGAAAATTTCAGAAGGCACTATGGCATGAAATATTACCTATTTGATTTGGCCTTAACATTATCAGCACACTGAAATCCTAAATGAATCTTTTAAACTACTTTACACTTAATAATAACAGTTGCTTACACTTACAGTATACAGTATAGCGCTTTTCTGGACACTCCACTCAACGCACTTTACAGGTAATGGAGATCCCCTCCACCAACACCAGTGTGCAGCCCCACCTGAATGATGTGACGGCAGCCATACTGCGCCAGTACACTCACCACACACCAGTGATGAAGCCAGTTCATAGATGGGGATTATTAGGAGGCCATGATTGGTACAGGCCAGGGGGAAATTTGGCTAGGATGTCAGGTGAACACCCCTATTCTTTTCGAGAAACAGGACCTCGGTTTTACGTCTCGTTCAAAGGAGGGTGCTTTTTTACAATATAGTATCCCCATCACTATACTGGGGCATTAGGACCCACACAGAGTGCAAGGTGAGCGCCCCCTGCTGGCCCCACTAACACCTCTTCCAGTAGCCACCTTAGTTTTTCCCAGGAGATCTCCCATCCAGGTACTGGCCAGGCTCACACCTGCTGAGCTTCAGTGGGTTGCAGAGTGATATGGCTGCTGGCAATTGGGAGGAGACTACTATACATCATATGCAATCATTATCATTACAGAAACACCAGACCAATAAAGACCTTTTTCTGATTTAAGGTGCTGGGCAGTTACTACCTCTGTGGGTTCTGACAAAGTCCACTGGGTGGACTGTGGAAATACCGCTGAAGATTTTGAATGCTTGACTTGAGGGCAGGTCCCCTCATAGTCTACTCTATTCAAGATCAAAAAGGTTTAGTTCTTTTAGCCAGTCAGTGTAGTTCTCTCCTTTGAACCTAGGATGTATCTGGTTGCTCTATTCTGGACTGATTCCAGAGCAACAATATATATTTTTATATTTATATTTTTATAAGTGTTGACCTAAAACTATACAAAAAGTGTAAATGGGTTCTTACTAATGCTTAGCACAAACACAGCTTAAAATTATTTTTAAATATTTCAAATGTGGCACGGCTAGTTTCAGTACTACAGCACGAGAAGCTCCCTCTTGACTGTCCTTGCAGTATTCACAGTGGGAAAATGGGGACATACCGTGCAGAGATCTTTGTACTGCATCTTCTGAAACTTGGTGTCTGCATTTCCTGCACACAGTTCGACATATCCCAGCACCACCTGGAACACGGTGTTGTGAATGGCCTGGGTGAAATGCATATGGAGTTGGTCCATTGCAGTCTGTGGATACAAAAAAGTGAAAGATAACTTTCTCCATTGAGATTCTTTAAACTGTTTCTTTTCTACTTTCTACAAAATACTGCCTATTTTTGTAATACTAAAGATATTAATTAATGATGAAATTCATATGTATGCTTATCATAAATTGTAAAAATGCATATACATAAAAAAAGGAAAGCTATTTTAAAGTTCCTGATTAGGTGTTTATGTGCATTACAAAACATAATATAATCAAACTTTTAAGATTTTGTTGTTGGATGTTTAAAGATAATTTCTATTTCTAATTTATTATTTAAACAATAATAACACTTGCTAATGTATTGGCACTATTTCTGATTTGTTTGTTGTAGCTGCTGGCTTCTTGCCATTGACGTATGCATTGTTTTTCCAGTATACCTACATCTAAAACGGAGTATTTAAATTAATAACAGTGTGACGCGCTGCGCTCAAGCTGTCTAGGATGTACGGAGATTAGACACTAACAAGATCAGCCCTGGCACTGACTGAGTGTCAGTGAGTGGCACGGAAACACAAAGAAATAACACAGCAACAGCTCACGCTCTGCCAAGCCACCTTAAAGTCACCGCAGAAAAGCTTGCACATGCCTAGAGCCATGTTGTGGGCAGGCAAAGCCACAAAACACAAAGAACACTGATCTCCTCATATTCCTTTGCTTTCTTTCGGTCACCTTTGGTTTTCATCACCTTCCAGGAAACAAGTACCTGTTCTTTACTGTCTCATAACAATCTAACACAGGTAACTGTGTACAGAGGAACTGGCACACTTTAAAACAGAAAAAAACAGGCAATTCCATGACGAAATGCATGTCAAGAAATCAAAATGGTCGCTTAAAAATAATAGCCAACCTTGAGGCCAAGACAGGCCAAGCATTTGCATTTCAAACGTGCTACACATTCATGTGTGAATTCCCACTTAATAAGGTTTTAGCAGGTATGCAGGTATGAGTGGGATTTTTCTAACTAAAAGAATAGTCAAGCCAATACATGGAGATCTATTTGAAGCCCAGAAGAAAACATCTGGGCCTACTTGACATCTGTGACCCTGAACACGGCCTTCAAAGTCACCATCAACCGTGTGTAACGGACCAAGCATGGCTGTTTATTTTTTATCAATCAACAGCACAACTTCTTCATGCCTGAGTCTTTTTTCTCACGAAGCTGGACTGGTCTTGGGTGCAAACAAACCCGTAACGGATGTGAGATGCGTGTGCGATAAAAAGAAAAGGACAGAGCGTTGTTCAGATAAACAGCACAGCTGCTGGCCATTGGCAGTGGAGCACTTAAGGCAAATGGATGTATTTTTAATAGACAAATCCAAATTACTTTATTTGTGAGGAAGACTCAAGGTGAAATAGACATCTTTCAGGCTTTTAACATTTAAGACAAGAAGGTCAGCATTTATCATCTTGAAAAAAGGGCAAAGAAAGCAGAGAGGAACATGATAGCACTGAAAACCCAGCCAGCTCCTACGCAGCCATTAGCCAGCACAATTACCCAAAAGTACCCTAAGTAACCTTCTGCATTGTGAACTCCCTGTATTTTATTTCTGCGGCTACCTTTTAAGTGTTATTAACTAGAAAACAAATGTGGTAATTTGTTTCCAAAAATAAACACCCCATCCAAGACAACCTGCCTAAGGCTTCATTGCTTATTCCGAAACACTGACCACTGGATATAGATCTGTTTAATTAGCACACATTCTTATTTGAATATAACTGGTGATTTCAATGTAAGTTGTAAAGTAATACACATCTTACACTTACACAACAGCAAACATATAATTGGAACTGAAGGCACTTTATTTTAAACTCCTCTCCAAGATATTCTGATTGTTCTACGGCTGTCTTTGATCCTGATAGAGGTTTATTCTGCGCCCTCAGTGCCACAGAGATTTTGTATGTCTCAGACAGTGATCAGCACTGATTTGTCTTCACTGGAGAACATGAATACACTACTTTTATTTTACTTAAAGAGATAAATGAAGATGTAACAATGCAGAGTGAAAGAAATTTAGTATTTCTGATAACAGCCAAATTATTAGAACTGGTACCCTAGCATTCTTCAAGCAACTACTGGATGAGATCCTCAGATCAATTAGTTATTAAGAAACTAAATGAGCAAATTTGAAATCTTACTTATGTTCCTAATAATTGACAATTACTCCCACGTATCAGGATGTAATTTGGACATGCTCACAGCATTGTAGAAGAGTTACAATAACAATATCAATTAATACTGGAAGAGTGCTCTTCCTGTTTGATTTTAAAGTCTTTCTTCTCTAAGAGAAGAAATACATGGCTGAAATGTACTTTTATAACATATCATTCACTACAGAGTGACACAGCGTTTGGCAGATCTTTGGTGGAATATACAGAGGGAAAGACTTATAGGGTTGGGGTAGTGTGGGAGAGGAGTTTGAGTGCTAAATAAGTAAATAATGCTCATTATGGGAACATGAAAACAGTTACTCTGCCTATCCCACCCATTTGGTAGAAAGTGGTTAATGATCTCATCCAGCCATTTTGTATTCCATATCAGGTCTATTTTTTGTTGAAATATTACAATGAAAACAAATTTCTGGACAAAAAAAACAATTTTTGAATAGTAGGAATTTGTTCAAAATTTGGTTCACCAGCCAAAGATTCAAATGTAATGCACAGGTTTATTAAAATTTTCATGCAATGATACAGCATAAACAAAGGAAGTTATCTCAAACTAAACATTTACATTTCTCCAAATTCCTACTGCCTGTCATTAAATAATTAATATATTTATAAACTTCATCAAAAGTCTTCTGAAGCAAGACTCACATAATTATCTTAAACAGGAAGAATCCATTAAATGGCACAAATTGACACTGCAGTAATAGTTATTGAACAACTCAGCTAATGGCAACAACTCACTTGTGTTTTTCCCAGGAGCGTATAAGCCTGCTGAACTTTGGTATAATGAGTGACATCAAAGTGCTTGCAGGTTTTCGACAAGGCAACATCCAGTTGTTCCTAAAGGGAAAAGATGGGTTAACGAAATAAAATAGGTTAATATGGGCAAAATAAAAACTGTATTGCCAAGGCTGCAATAAACAAAGATTTCTTTAACATCGCCCTTTTCAGGGTGCTAACAATGCAATCAGTTTTCTTACATATGATACGTTAAAACTTTGTGGAATACCTCTCCCTCTAACAGCCCGCAACAGTCAAGATGTCAGTAACTGGAAAATCGATACCTTTGAAGAGGTGGAAAAACTAAGAAAATGGAAATTGTTGCATATTAATAAATTACTGATAAAAGAAATCTCATTCTTTCATTCCGTTCTTCCAAATGCATTAGCCTGGAGCCAGTAACCTTGAAATCTTCAGTACAACTACTTCAGGAACTTGAAATTACACCGTGCTATTAAAATAATGGTAAAGTGCAAAGACACTTAAACTGAAGCAAACTTATTTCCATTTTTCTGTGATAAACTCTAAATGGAAGACAGGGATAAATTATTTAACTCTCAAGAAAAGCGTCTCGAAGAAGTTGGTGTACCTTTTCCCTTTCACCTTTTAATTTTAGGTCTCTCAACGAGAATGGATGATATATTAGTCTACTGAAAACAATGAAGGGAGGTCTTTGTGTGTCCAGGGAGTTACACCCGAGACCAACTTCATTTTACATCTGTAGCACGAGTTACAAAGTACTCAAATGTAAAGAACATCACTGCTGACATCAGTCCCATTATTGTATTATTAGACTTTAATACAAGAAATGATTTAAGAAAGGAATAAAATACATGGAGTTTGCAAAGGAAAACATTATTGTGAGGATTATGTAAGACTAAATGTATTGGAACACTTGTGTAAGCTTTGAAAGAAAATAATAGTAGCTGCATGCCCTGCAATCACATTTACTGAACAGAATAATTTAAAAGATACATTTTTCTATCACCCTATACAATTCTCAACTACACCAAGGAAACTCTTAATTTGGTTTTGGATTTGTGAAAATAGAATAAAGCTCTTTCCATCATTTACCATCATTTATTAAAGATAATCAAGGCTCATCCAAAGCTGAGACATTCAGAATAACCTCAGTTAATATATTCTTTTAGCCTTTCAGCAGTACTATAAAAATAAATGTGTTTTTTTTTGTAGAAAAGGGTTTAAAAATAAAGGTCTTCCCCACTAGTTCCCCACTTCCCCATTGTAGAGAATTTACACTGAAAACCTGTCATTTACTCAATCAGAAATGACGTACCTCTATTTGCTCCAGAGTGTCTTGCAGCTTGGAATTTAATTCGCTGAAAGAAATAAAAAATCAGTTGCACAACAACAAAACATCTCTATAGTGCTGACTCCTATTTCAGTACAGCATTTTAATTCAAATCAGGATTCAAATACTGTTTTTTATAATCTACTATACGTTTCATTATGAATTAATTGCATTTTATGCGTCCAGATGTTTTCTGTACAACTTAATACAGCTTATTTGCTGTGCAATTGAAGTAAACTTCCCACTAGATAGTCTGAACACAAGCTGAGCCACAGTGCCTCACTGTTACAGTCCTTAGTTGGAGATGTTTTTTTTTTTCCCTAATTGCTTTCTCCTCTTTCTCCGGGTGCTGCCAATTAATAAATTAGGCAAATGAGGTGAAAGCATTTAAAAGGGGAAAACGAGACTGCAAACGGGGGACCCTGAGAGATCGGAGGTGGTGAAAGAAGATAGTTGAGTGGTGTGTTTTAGGGGATGGGGAAAGACATGCTGTGTGTTTCTTTTTGCTTTTGTTCAGGTTTGGTGAGTTCGTTCGTGTAGACAGGGGTAGAATGCGGAAGACTTTTCTGGTCCGGACTTTTTGTTTAGGAACGACCACTTCTTTTTTCCCTGTTCTAGCCTATCTAGTTGTTTTCTTTTATAGTCGGTAAGTTTGCCTGGGTTTTTTCTTTTTGTTTGTTTTTTTAGTCTTTTCCCTCCCGTTTGGAATATGAACGTTCACTTCTGGTTCCCTGTTTTTTTTTTTTTTTGGGGGGGGGACTATAATAAAATTAATTTGCTTTTCCGGGGGAATCCGACCTCACGGGTGAACCTTTCTGTTGTGGCTTTTTGGTAAAACCCCGGATACATTTTTAAGGTCGTGACACTCACGAAAGTGTCTAGACTCTTGACAAGGTGTTACATTTTGTGAAAATATACAATACATCCACATTTTTACACTCAACATTTTATTAAAAACTAGAATGCTCAAACAGTAAGACTGAGGAGTAAGATGCTACAGTAAATGTCAACAAAAACCAAAGAGAAAAAACTGAAATATGTTGATTGCATAGATATTCAGAGCGCAAGATATTGAACTCAATATTTGGTGGAAGCATGTTTGACAGCAATTACAGCTCCAAGTAATTCTGTACCTAATTTGCACCATAGCTTTGTGCAATTATGGCCCATTCATGGCAGATTTCCTAAAACTTTCTCATGCTGCTTAGGAATCACTTAAGGACAGCAGTTTTTTTAAGTCTTTCCACAGAATCTCCATAGGAGACTTAGATATGGCAACTCAAGGTCAGTCACTTTCCTATTCATAAGCTAGAACAGCTGTAGCTATAGCCTTGTGCCTTGTCAAGGTGAATTAATATACTGTCCCCGTTTTAGGTTTGAAGCAGGTTTTCAAAAAAACAAACTGAAATGTGGTTAGCAGCTAAAAAGTAAGCATTTAGTCAAATAATTTTATTTTCAAATCCTGACTGTTCAGTAGACCTGTTACCATAGTGCATAGCAGGTATTTTCTCAATATAGTTTGCATTGTAATCCGCAAATTAGTATATTCACACTACACATTGATTTGGCACAATAGCTACAGTGTATTGCTGGACTCCTTTAAGATCTTAGGAAATTCATAAAGGCAATTTCCACTGTTTCTTTAAAGTTTTAGTCAGATTGAAAGGACTCACGAGAGTGAAAATGTTCTTAATTACCAGTTTTAATCTCCTTGACAAGGGTTCTTGGCCATATCCTGTCTAACTCTTCCAGTTCATACCCACCTAGTCCAGGCTTAATCACTGTGAATTCTGCTGCAACTCTCCCAACAGACCCCAGCACTTCCTCAGTTAAGGAATAGCCAAAGAACTGAAGCACCATGAAAAAGAAAAGACTACACTGCATTAAATTGCATGACCTTTCCTCAAAAATAATACTTTAAGAGTGATTTTTAAATCCAGGTCTCAGTTGTTATTCACAGCCACAGTCTATTTTGCTTTTCTTTTTGAACTGCTCAATCACAAGACCTTGCACCCAATCTAAACCTGAAGGCAAATCCTTGAAACATAACTGTTGTGTTTCCAGGCTTCGTTTTTTATGATTTGAATCAGTTCAGGTTTTCACTCTTTTAATTAATTTTTATTACTGACAGCTTCAAAAGTGTAAAAATAAGCACAGGAAACTCAAACTTAACACTAGGGGTGGAAGGACCGATTGGCTATAGATCGGAATCAGATGATTTCCGTTCTAAATACGTGATCGGCTGATGTTCCTTTCATTTGGCCGATACCGAGAGCCGATCTATGACGCAAAATATTTGAACCCAAATTTTGCCGTGTGCCTTGAAATGAAAACGTCATCCGTCTGACAGTTTTTTTTTTAAATATCTTGATCCAGATCAAGTCAATGCTATATGCAATGGTTGTAAAACTCACGTCTCAAAGAATTTTAATACAACTAACCTGATACAACACTTAAGAGCACATCACCGGACCGAGTACAGTATCAGAAACTAGCAGAGCTCACAAAGACGGATAAGGCTACATCGGCATTTACACAACCGTCAGTGCAGCCGACATTTGAGAGATACCAAAAGTACAGCAGCAATAGCCTGAAAGCAAAAGGAATCACAACCAAAATAAATTTATTGCACTAGATAACCAACCGTTTTCAGTTGTTGAAGATGTAGGATTCTGCCACTTGATATCTCACCTGGACCATCACTATGCCATTCCCGGTGGGAAATACTTTTCAGATTATGGTGTTTGATCATCTTCATTAGATAAAAGAAGTGTTAGACTGCAGCTTGTTACTTCATGTGAGTTGGGTGCAACAATCGTTGTCTTACTTGCTACAACAATTCTAGCTTATACCACCTTTTGTGTGGCTGGATAGTAACACACCAGTATATAATAACATAGCAGTAACATACAGAATATAAATGCAAGAAATCAAAAACAAGGGACCCACTTAATTCACGATTGAAGCTGAAGTGTAGTCCCCATCGGGGTGACACTATATACCACTATACACAGGCCTCCTGCCCAGCAGATCAGTAAGAAGTCACATCAAACTATGGACATAAGGGTAAGCAAACAAGACTGTCTTGAAAAATGCAGTCACGGCTTCATTTCCATACAAAATTGAATTTATCCAAATCAGAAGTCCCCTTGTGTCTTGCCCTTGCAAACTGCAGGCACATACTGTAAATGGACCAACTCTGTACAAAGCCAAAGTTAAAAATGCTGCTTTGCAGCACTCAGAAATATTGTTTCTCCTTGTAAGCAGAATGCTTGGGTAAAACAATATGTGCAACTTAATTCAAAGTTATTTTAGTTTGACTTCATTCAGAATACAGTTTCCAGTATTGGTCACCATAAAAAAAGGATATTGTAGAGAAAGTGTTCAAAGAAGACATACAGGAGTGATTACTGGTTGCAGGGGATTGGCATACAAAGGTTTCAAATCTCTTCAAATCAAATCTCTTCGGTTCAGAACAAAGGAGACAGAGAGAAGATTTGATCCACGTATATAAAATCCCAAAGGGTTTAGACAGGGTCAATGCAGGGGACTACAGTACTTCAGACTTCAGAATACTAAACAAAGGCATTAGGTTACAATTTGAAACTAAAAGAAAACTTTTTTAGCCCAGAGAATACAAAACACTGCTCTACACAAACAGCTGTAGGTTTCTTGAATAGACTTCCAGACTAGGTGGATGTGGCCCAATGTCTGTGCTTCTTCAAGTTTGGCATTTTACACCCTCTAATTGGCAGCCTTTCTAATGTTTATATAAAAAGTGAGAATGTTGGTGTGCTCTTCGAAAGGCTCCTGACCACTGCAACCTCTTTAATTTCCATGAAAAACTGATCAAAATCTGTAGCAAAGGCTAAAGTTTACAATCGTCAGCAAAACAGAAACAATTCCAGTAAAAATGCACACAATCACCAATATGCTATACAAGACATAAGGCTATATAACAGCCCAAGCCTCCCAATTTCCTTTTAAAGAGTGACTTAAACATTACTGCTTATAACTCAGAGTTAAAAGAGGACCTGAATACCTTTGGGCTACCTCTAATTGCTCTATCACAGACTTATCCACAGCATCACAGTTTTTATCACAGTTTCAGGCACTATCTCCCCCCTTTGGGTAGAGAAGGTGTGGAGCACACTGAGTATTGCAGCACTGCAGTCTGGTGCAAAGCCAAGATACTCCATATACTTGGAGCAACCGAGACATCAGCCAGCAAACTGCTGGGTGACTCATACAATTCACCGTGGGGAAAAAAATCGTATAACTGTATAATTTATAGGTGTTTTGTTCTGTTTTTATTTGTAATAAATCAGGTGTTTTAATTTCAGTAAAAGACTGACAGCACTACTATAACCTGAAAAAAGTTAAGACAGAGTGGTGGTGCTACGCATTAATTGACATTTCTATGCCTTCTTACAGGTCCAGTTGCAGAATACAGTATGATGTTACACTTCACTGTGTTGTGAAAGCGTATTATAGCATTTTTGCAACTACAAAATCATTCTGACAAGGAAAATGTCTGAAGTGCACAGAGAAGTAAATTCCAAATGTTTCACTAATGAATACAAAAGGAAAAGCGCTTACAAGGCCTACTCAAGCTGGAACGGTGTTAATGGCATGACATTAAAGACTAAAATAACAGATCTGTACCTTATTCTACACATTTGGCTCTTAGGTTTACTAATCTGATGTGCGACAAACATACTGAAAGTCTTGTGGTAAGCGCCTAGGCATATGTTCTTCACAAACAATGAGTCACAAGTCAACTTTAATGAAAGTCTGACCATTAAACTGATAACAAATGATGTCTACAAGATGTCTCTACATGAACTTTTTGTTATTAGTGGGCTGAATGGGAAAGGAATGTCACTGTGCTATCTTGCCCTACAGGTGCTTAGCCCAAATTTTCATAGTGTAAAATCAATCAACTTAATGTTTTCAGAGAGTCATCAGCATGCATGGGGTTACATTCCTGAATCTGCTACCTAACCCCAGCTCTACATAAATCACATTTTCATATTTTACTGTGCAGTACTCATAAAGGACATTCAGCACGTATTGAGCCTTCAATAAACCTGTTCATTTAGGAAACGATTCAGTGTGTATTATACATAAAACTATAATATTTATATATAAAACTATAATACTCTATTAGATTAAAAAAACTTCACATAAAAAAGATTACGCACAATAATATAATTAATTGTAGCATTTTACAGAGGTTGATACTGTGTGTAGCAATACAGGCAGAACCTTTATTGCATGTTTTGTTTCTCCACAGGACCGACTACTGCTGAGAGGGCGTAGCTTTTATAGTTGTTTTTTTTTTTTTTTTTTAGAGTTCTACAAGTTGTCTAATAGTTGTACTGAAGACGTTCAAGTTAAAGAAAAGTTGATGTCACAAAGTCATTTTTCTAATAACAGCCCTTCTTTGAAAACAGTGTATGTAATGACCCTAACATCTACAACAAGGCTAAGCATTACAGACATTTGCATGTAAAATTACAATATGTGCACATACAGTATTACTGTGCATTATTTTAAAAAAATAATTTAATTAAAGAAGACAAATGATTAAACACAATCACAGAACGAATGTAATATTTATTATTAGTACATACCTTAACAGATAAAAGGCAATACTTAGAGGCAAGGTTTTTTTTTTATTGATCTATTATCCACAAAATTAAAGGTTCTTCCATTTCCTCTCTGCTTAATTATAAACGTTGATTTCAGGAGAGCAGCTCCTTTAGCGTTATGCTTTATTCATTCTTTGTCTTTCACAGTGGTTCTCACCACGGACAACAGCAGTCCAAGTTCAAACGCAGTCTTTGATTTCAGAATCACATTTCATATCTATTCAATCTATCCATTCTTGCCTGTAGCTTAATCGTTTCACACCGCGTCTTCACTGCACCAGTATCAATTTTCACATCAGATTTGCGCTTGCCGGCCATGGTCAGAGTAAATTCACAAGAAAATATCAAATCTGTGAGCTATAAAGAACGCACTGCTGATTACAGTACAGGCTGAGTGTGTTTAATCACTGCACATTACTACAACGGTAGTGTTGAGTACGCTACTCAATAGTGAGTAGTTTTGATTTACTTATGCCACATTACTGTTTGCAATTCCATTATTTACTTCATATTCATTATAAGATGTGCAGAGATCAACTGGATGGTGTGCACAAACGGGCAAATACAACACATTATTTTTAGGGTAACCTGTGCACTCTCACAACCTGAGACTTAAGCTCCTGATCGAGCTGGACTCTGGCGAGTCTTGGAGGTCACAGCATCGACCATCCCTCTCGGTGCGCCAAACCAGTCAAAGGGCTGCCTGCTAAGCGAAAGCCAGGAGTTTCGTTTCCATTTTCCCGTCACGGATTTCTCTTGTCCCTGCCATAATTGGGAGGAGGCATCTGGCAGACTGCAAGCCTTTTTTGTGCAGCTTCAGACTGCTAAGAGTAATAATCCCTACCTTCAATCAATATCAGCAGACAGCTCCTAAGCAGGAGTTTATCAGCATGTAATTACCCCACAAATCGAGGGAATGATCACCGCAGTAAATCGCCATCAAGTCAAACTGCGAGCAACGTGAGAGCTCACTCATTCCTCCAGAACCAGAGCTGTCACAAACTTTACTTTTAAGGTACTGTGTTGAACAGTATGGAGGGCTTACAATCATATCAATACAGGAAAGTTTTTGTTTTCCTTAACAAATAGCTGATGGGTAAAAGTAACCTTGCACTAGTACTGGCTTTACAAAGAGTTCATTGTTTAGAGGGGGAAAAAAAAAGTTCTAATGAAAGCGGGGAGGGAAAATGACTGTTTACTTCAAACAAACTCACTGCAATTCCTAAAAACCGATGAACTCCTCCCAAACAATTCAATTAGTACAAACAAAATTATCTGACAGCTGCAACTATAGAACATGGATGAATTGTCTTCATGCATTAGCCAGTAATGTACTGACACGTCTATTTACAAAAAGAACCACTTTAAAATTATATTTTTACAGGGAAGCAATATAGTAAAATTGTAAACATCTGTAATTCCACTTGTTCAACAACACTTGTGTCAAATGATCACAAATACCAAAACAAATGTAGAACTAGATCCTTTCCACTGAAAGTATGAAGAGCGGATCTTAGATCTCAGAGTATTTTTTGTTTATGGGTACAAAGTCAGAGTATACTAAAGCTTTATTTAAAGTTGTAGCACATACAAAGAAAGTTAAAATCAGGGGATACGCCCACTGCTTTGCTGAAGGCAGTGATTTGTATATCTTCCTAAATCTCTTCACAGTGCTTCTCAAAGCTTCCTTGGGATCCAGAGTGAAATCTCCAGGCATTAACGGTTTTGAGAATAAAATGCAACATAATTTCCAGGTTATGAAAGAATTCAAGTTAAATGGAGCAGTATAGTTTTCTGGAAAGAGCACTTCTTGTTTCGTTTGAGTGTGCAATCCCAGAATGTAAGCACTCAACAAATGAAGTACAAGCCTGTTTCTAATTTAGTGGGCTTCACTGACATATTAAAAAAAAAATGAGTGGGATTTTAAGAGCAAGAAATAACTGGATTCACGGGTTATTTTATGAGCTGTATGAATCTAAATCACAGAAACAGTAAGAGGTGTGACATACTCCAGTGAGGCATATGCTACCTGCTCGAGAAACTGTGCCCTGTAATAGGTATACTGACTCAATGGGTCACCTAGGGTGAGTCTGAAAAGACAGGCCAATAGAACATAGCATTCAGCTCAGACACCATCTTCTGAAAAGAAAGGCTAGATTCTTAAGGTGTCATTAATTTCAGCGACGTATTTCTCTATGAGCACCAGGACCTGCATGCGTCATCAATTATCCTGCCTGACTTCCAACATTTCAGTTCCAATTTAATCAATTTCATGGTGCACCAAAACAACCAAACCAAACGTGCCTCTTTTTTTTTTTTTACAAACACTGTTCTATGGATCACAAACCAACTCTATTCTGTATCAAGGCTTCAGTCACACATGGAGGATAGAGTGGCAAAGACCTGAGACCAAAACAGGAAGATAAAGGAGGGAACCGCCTGCAGTAGACTGATACTAGAAATTAAAATTCAGGGCACGAGAGTGGAGTAATCATTAAGGCTCGGAGCCCCACACTGGATTATCATGGAATAAAATCCTGTATGAGACAGTGTCATTATGCCTTTAAGCAAGGTACTTCAGAGGGGTCTAGCAAATACCTTGCTTTATAAACTGGGTTAGTTATTAAATTTCATATTATTGAAAATTGATTATTGCTACCCCATTTAGTAATGTATTGATTAATGCTCTAGGATAAAAGATTCAATTAAAAACTAAATATAGAGCGTCATAAACGATTTACTCTATTGTATATACACCTACAGAGAATTATACATTATCATACGTATATTAACTTTAAACCAAGAGGCTCCTTGGTTTACTAACACAACGGAAATGCTATAGAGATCTCTGCAGCGTAGTTCAGTCCAAAGTGTTGAGCGATCTAAATGTATGATTTTATACGTCATGTTTCTGTACATGTCATGTAACTGCATTGGTATTGTACTATACTTGGTAGTGACAACCAAGGAACTGTTTATAGGTAACATAGTATTACAAGGTTGAGAGTTGCCGAGGAACGTGTCTCCATAGGATAACTGAGGTACCAAATTATAGTCCTTTTCATTCAATGCTCCAGGTTGTTACTGTAAAAAAGAGTTTGTTCTCAATTGACTTATCTGGTTAAAGGATTACATTTTTTTAATCAACACGTCCCTGCGTCACTTATAACCCCAATTAAACAATCCACTTATGCCATCTGTCCTGAAGGTACCTCACTTCTGCCGTTAGAGAAATTTAATTAAAGGAGCACGATACCCACTCAAACCAGTCTGATAAAGCCTTATGCAGCACTAAACAATCAGACAAGTGAGACAGAATCTCTTGGGGTACTGACAAAATTAATTTTGAAAACCGGTGCAACAGTGAGGGAAGGGTCTTTTAAGTTCTCAGACATTTAAAAAACACCCAGCTTATGCCTGCTGTCAACTTGAAATAGGCACAATTACGAGCAGTACATGTTCAGTGGTTACAATTTCCCATAAACTTTAGTTTTCTTATACAATATTCCATTACATATTAATCAGTAATATATTTGCCTGTGTCTTCAGGAATAATACAGAAACCAATACTTACTACAGTTTCCTTAAGTCCTTCAAGGTCATAATTAAAATGGTGTTGATGTCTAAACCCTCAGAAAGTAATGCTCTAGTGGACTGATAAATACACCTCACCTTCAACACATTTTTACAGCACAGTTTAAAAGAACGCCTAAGGTTATACTGTATATGCACACATTAAATGGCCCTTAAATGTACACTTAAAACAGAATAATGATGTGCACATAAACTGAAATGTTGAGTAAACATAGATGAAACCACGCAGCCATGCACACATAATGCCAGTTGTTCAGGGTTCAATTATGTTTGCGTGCTCAAGGCAAAAAAAAAAAAAGACTACTTACAAACACAACAAAGCACTATAAACAGTACCTTATACAACTGTAGTGCTTGAATGTGCTAGCAGCCTTCTGGCATTCCAGACACAACTGAATCGCTCCAGGATAATCTTCTTCCTAAGACAATTCACCATAAAAAAAAACTAATTTTAGTGGAAAACATAGGATTTCCCACATACGCTATTACACAAAACTATTTCATAATTGTCAGATATCATTAAGATTGCATTTTTTAAGTTCTGTAAGTTTACTTCTAGTTATCTGATAACAGTAGTGCCAAAGGGCCATGTATATTAAAAAGGATGTAAAATCAGATCCTTGTTTTAAAACACAAACGAAAACATCAACAACAGTGTTTTAGGAGACATCTGTTATGAAAAGTTCACCTCCCCCTGCTGCTTCTTGAGAGAATGTCTTCATATTCAATCTACCACTGCACAGCACCGGGCTCTGGTTTCTAACCAAGAAGAAAAAGACCTCTGAAGGGATACCTCCACACTCACCTCGAGCATTTCACTTAACCTCACATCTGTTCTTTGCTGAAAAAGAGAAAAAAGCAATAACTTGAGAACTGAATATCAGACAATACATCGCAGTAGGTTAAAAAACAAAAGGATGACTTACAGCTTCCTTTTTCGGATTTTAAAAAGAGTGAAACTAAACAACTAAAAGCAAATAAGCCAGTTCATTTTGGAAGTACAGGTGAAGCACAGTTCTGTGGGGTGGATCCATTCAGAAGACATTACCAGTGTTTTTATTGTCCTTAGCGACTTCAGCAGCCCAGTCAGTAACTGCCTCCTTCGCTGGTTGGCCAGAAGACCAAGGCTAGCTTGTGTGAAACCTTCCTTGGCAAAACTTAAGTGTCTGAGGGAAAAAAATAAAACTCAACTGATTTTACTTATTACCAATGCAGGTATTTAGATATGCATATATTACAGTGCAAAGTATACATTTCACTACATAGCAGGCAAAGACAAAGCTGAAACCACAGTAGTTATCACTGAAAGAATTGCAAACCACTGAAAATAAACTGCAATAATTATGTTCCAATAGTTTGTTTAACCACTCAGCTTTCATCAGATAAGCATATTGTATTTTACAAAAGATATATCAATAGCAGATAACATGATCATCAGCCTCAATCATTGTACCTAAATACTTTCAAATTAACTGCATCATTTGCTGCCACAGGCAACAAAATAAGATAACGTTACAGACTACAAGTCTATTTATCTCCCCTACTGATACCAGAAACTTGGGGGAAAAAAAACCTTGGGCCATTTCAGTTAACTGTAGCACCGCCAGTGATAGATGAAGTTTAGATCCTATTGTCATTTACCTTCTTGCATTTGTACAGATGACAGCTGCCAGCTGAAGGTTTGTCTGTAAAGAAGTGACTCGTTCAAGTTCCTGCAAAGAAAAGGTTCTTCATGATTTTTCAAAATGCTGAAGAAAGCATTGAATAATGGGAAATAAATTGATACATGCATTGTACAGCTGTTTCACGACCAAATGTTAATTCAGCCATCAGTAAAAAATAATAGGGTCAGCTGTACTGTTTCTGGTGCAGTCTCAATTGTTTAAAGCAAACTTTTAGATGATTATTTAAAGCATTCTTTCGAAACTATTACACAATGTACCTTAGAAATATGCTTTCACAGGGGACGGCTTCATGAGAGATTGCTCCACACTGCTAAAATAACTGGCTGTCTTACCATCTGTTGCTTCCGTATTCACAACACGTTTATATCTAAAAACTCCGAAGATCATCAGTGACCACTCCCACCCAGCTTCTCCCCTGCTTGAGCCTCTTCTCTCCTAAAGAAGGCTAAGATGTATGAAATCCAGAACAAACCAGTTAAGGAAAAGCACCTGCCCCAGAGCTCCTCGGTCTCTTAACTCAACAATGTTAATCAATTTGAGGATTCCTGCTTCACCGTATGGTGTCTGAATTGTGTTTGTATACGATATATGTATTTAACTTGTCATTTTTCTCTCTCTTCTTGTATTTTGTCTTTTTTGTATCCCCGCTTTTTTGTGCACACCCAAAAATGTGGTTGGGTTGGTTTGGTAATAAAGTAGACTTTAACCAAGCACCTGAAATCCGGAGATCTCACCCCTTAAACAGCTGGAGCCACTGCAACACACACATCAGCCCCTCACAGCTTATCCAGACTGTCATCACAACCTCAGCTGATGGTGATGCTGCTCTAACAATGGAATAGCACTGGGAAGCAAACCTTTTGAAAAAACCTTATAGGACACAAGCTACTGTGCCATCCTGGTCAATCTGTTCTTGCTATGGCTGCTCACAAAGGCCCAGTACTGTTTTTCACTGGATGGTGCTTAGGATGCTGACCACCTGGTACATGTATACTTAACCAACTTAGAAGGGAATTGTTTATACAATAGATAGATAGATAATACTTTATTAATCCCGTAGGGAAATTGATGTGAAATTGACAATATCAACCTCACTCATTTCAGATCCTTAAAACATACCTACCTCAGCAGTTGTATAATCTGGACAAGGCTGGTGGACAACCAGGAGTTTTAACAGTCCTTGAAAAGTATATCATATCTATAACAATCACCACCCACTGCAAAACAAGGTCCCTATTCCTGATGTTATTTAGGTCAAACATAGGGAGTTACTATATTATAACTATATATATATATTATAACTATATTATGGTTATAAAACTATACAGTGTACATAAATTGCACCCTGGGGATGAATAACATATTATTAATAATATTAATGCCAGAATAAAATCTCAAGATCTCACCTGTCATAAAATAAACGTTCAGTCACGTAAACGTTTATTTACAAGTGTTTGACAACCTAGGAAATCTTTCAAACGATCACAAGAAGAAGAGTGAATCTCTGCACTGGCATACGATATTGTTTGCACAATCTGGATAATAACCCTACAGCCAGGTGTTGTTGTTTCCTGCTTCCTCCACCCAGAAAAAGCTGAGCTTTCCATGAACCTACAAAGTTGTCAATGAGCAATTACACTGGCAAGTTAACATTCTTTGTACTTAAAAGCTTTTCATGTTTGGAGCAGGTCATAAATGGAATACCATGGAATCACAAAGAATAGAGCAATTTCACTGTAAGATTAATTTTGCAAAAGCAGGAACCCATGACTAATTCATATACAACTGCTCAATAACTTAGCAAAGTGAGTAAATGCGCAACCTTCAGAACATGAATTATTGCAGACTGTAGCAAATGTTGTTTTCTATGAAAAATTTAAAAAAATAAGGAATTGCAGTTCCATATTTTATGGGTATATTACACAAACAGCCTAATCTGCTACTTGTACACTAATAAAACATGAAAGCAAAATGCAAGTTCTGGGGACAGAAGGAGGGTTGTAGTCTTTATGATAAAAGAAAACCAGGTACCTTTCTCACCTCCTCACTGGCACAAAGTTAAAGCAAGGTTTACATAGTCTGCAGCTAACCAGCAAAGACTGAAGAGGTTTATCCTATATTATTATAATATGCTGTAACTGCTCTTTTTATGCCCGAATTCTCTTGACTGGGGTTAGACAAACTACTGTTTAACATCTATGGTTTTTATTTTTAAAGAACCAGCAGTCATGTGCTTGTGGCAACACAATTGCACAAAGCATACCTACTGTAGGATCCTAACCTGAACTGAACAAAAGCGCATATTCAGAAAGGTTCAAAACAGTATACTGTTAAGAAACAAACTTGTATAAAGAAATTTGTAATATTCAGTTGAAGACAATTAAAAAAATAAAATGGCTCAGCTTCAATTATACTTGAGAGAATACATTTCCATAAATTGAAACACTGGTTTAGTGGGATCTTCTTTCTTCACTGTTCTGTTGCCCTGCATTGTAAGTTATTAAATTAAAAATAAAAAGGCAAACAACATGTCAGAATATAAAACTGAAAGCACACAATTTAAATCAAAGGATGTTATGTGAAAATTGTATAACGCACTAAAAAAGCCTCAACTAGTTACAGAAACAGTATTGTTGCTCTGGAATCTGTCCTGAAAAGAGCAACTAGACACATTCTGAGGCTGAAGGGACAAGCTGGAGGAACAGAATCTCTTTAGTCCTGAAGAGAGGAAACGATGCCTGAATAAGATCTTTGGAGCAATAACTACTAATAACTGAACAGGCTTCTTTCATTTGTAACCTTACTGTATTTTCTAATAATGTTTTACTTTTGCCTAAACGTATGTTCTTATACTGCTTTACCAAACAGAACAGCAGTTTACCAAAAAAATTTCAATGTAACACCAATCATAACTCTTGCTCATGCACTTGCTCAGTAATATTCAGTCTAATAAATGCCAGGTCATCTATAGTACAAATTTAATAATACATTAGCTGGTCCACAGTCTTTTCCTGATATTGTTTCTTTTGTAACCTGAACAAGAAAATGCTGACGTGACTCTTTGATGTGTAATGCCCACGGCATTAAAGAATTACTGCTTCTACATAGAATATAACAGAACCAGCAACCTTAATGCATTATTAAAATATAAATATTCCATAAGATGCAGCTAAAAGTGTTTGTAATACTGCTTTCCCATGCAAATCCTGACAATAGTAGAGAGTGAATAACTGTAAAAGGAGTCCAGTGGATTCTGGTGTGTGAAGCTCCAGTCGGAGAGGTGGAGGAGACCAGCAGGCTAACAACAGCAGGAAAGAGGCCAAGCTGCACCTCTTTCCTGTGGCTGGCAGCCACAACTGGCAGCAGTGGGTTGGCATAGGCACTTGGCGCAAAGGAGGGAGGGCAGTGGGTAAGGGCACCAGTGACTCCTAGGCAGGCCAGGCGAACAAGGTGCTAACTCCAAGATGTGCCTTAACTGCCATGCCCGTAGGAACCTGCAACAGACTCACACTGTTCCTGTTTGGCTGACTGTGAAGAGCCAGCTGGCAGGACTCTCCCTGTGTAGGAGGCAGCTTGTCTGGCGACACCTGGGGGTGAACACTAAAAGGGTAATCCAAGCTAGGGTTTGCATGTCCTTCAGTTAGACCAACACACCTTCCGTTTAATTCTTTGTCGACGAGCTCCTATTTAACGGATTAAAAGAGTGTGCGAAATTCTCAACGTGGATGTCAGCATGTACTTTCTATGCCGGTGTTTAAAATATTCCTATCCAATGTCTGCCCTTTTACATTCTGCGTTTAAATATATCGTGTGTCCTTATTCTAAGCGCAACATTCATGGTAACAAGTGGTTGACCAAGGCCCTTGAAAATTGTGATCCTGTTTCAGAACAGAGTAGACCACTACCGTATGTCTGTGGTACACTATGAATGGCCATCAGTTCATGTGCTGTGACTCCTTAATTTCCCACACCCACTAAACAAGAGAATTACGCTTTAAGTATTCAATACAGGGTATGACTAGTTCTCTAATACACACAATCATAAGAACACAAGAAAGATCAAAAAGTAGGGGAGACCATCTAGCCCATCTGAGAGTTTGTCAACAGATAATCAAGTTTAATTTCATATTCCCAAGCAAGCTAATGAGTACCAGCAGCAAAGACACTCAGTAAGATGACAGTTTCATCATATAACAACAAACAAGTAAATTAACACTGTATAAATATATGTAAAATAAATGAGAATTAAACACTAAATATTTTAAAGCCACTGTTTTGCAGTACTGTGGCATTTTTTATCACTAAGAGTAGAACCTGTCAGTATTTTCACTATACAGGCTTCAGCAAACTTTGTAGCTTTAGTCCCTTAAATTGCTTTTCCCCCTCATCTCTAGATAAGCATTTTGTCATCCTGTGAGATTTTGCTATCACTAAATGAAATCTTCCACATGGGTTTATTTTTTGTTTTTATTTTCTTTCAAGCATCACATTGTAATTTATTCGGTTTCAGACAGAATCCTACAACGAAAAAAGCCAGAGAAACTACTGAGGCTTTCAAGACTTGCAATTGGTACAGCACTTCTGGATGCACAAGCAGGTCACTGTGTCCAGATATACTACATTCATACATTAATCAACTGAATGACACAAGAAAGCATGAACATTATTTGAAGTTTCTCATTACTATTACGTTCTGCAACCCTGCTGCATTTTGTATATCCATGCAGCAGAAAAAAAAACAACTTTTCTGGATGGAAGAAATTATTTTTTATCACGTATTGCTTATTTTAATCTTTAGATGTTGGATAACATCTTTTCTCACACTTGGTTCTTACTGATTAGCATCAGCTATTATTTTGCATATTACATGGCAAAGGCTCTCAGGGGAAATCACAGCAATTAAAACAGGCTATCTATAGCTCCGTCTGCACAAAAAGTGGATTAGGAGTGAAGCAAGGATAATATGACTGGGATGAAACTGCAAGTACTCAGATGTTCTGCAAAACAGAAGAGCAGCGTTATAGTATTTACAGTTAAATGATTTTTGAAAAGGTCATATTATAATATCGTATACAAGTGCCAGTATTAACTGAGCATGCCATTCTGCTGGGTTTCAACAAGTAGACTAGAGTGTTTATCTCCTGGGTTTTACCCTACAAGAACAGTATATCCTTTATACCTTACACTATAAAAACAGTGAGAGTGCTCATAGGGCTGTTTCATGTGAAACTGCATTTCTAGCAACGTCGCACTTTTAAAGCAAACTCTAAGATCATTTACTTGATCAGGTAGTGCTAAAGAGACGTAACAACCAGGAAATTAAAGTAATGGTTATTGGCACTGTGGGGTATTTTTAGAAGAGCATCTAAAGTATTGAAAGATAAGAAGCAGGTGATTGAAAATCTGAAGTGTTCTTATAAATGGATCAACTTTCCTCCAAAACATACTCAAAGAAAATAAACAGCTCACCAATGGATGAACCCCAGAGAAAACAATAAGCAATACGTAGTCCCCAAATTATGTGCTTCAGCTGTTTTGCAGCACTGAATGTTTCTGCACTTCTGTACGAATTAAAACTGAAGGATCTCTCATCCAGCTAGCGACACTGAGACTCAACGAGCCAAAAACCATTTTTCTTTTACTAAGCAGGCCTTACCTTGTCATGAATAAATGACAGACTTGAAAGATTCCCAGGAGGAACTTGAGAATGTACTTCCAAATCAGTAATTAACTTAACGAACACTATATAAACTAGATAGCAACCAGTGCTTTCTCCTCACAGTGCAGCACATCCAAGTTGTAATATTTAATTATAGCAAAGACTTGATCCAAGGACCTGAAATCCTCAAAGGTTCTGAGAAACTCAACCCAGAAACCTGGCAACACAAAATAGAGGACACAAGTGGGAACCACATAGCAGTGCATTTAAAATTGATAACAGAAGGCAGTGCTTTACACATAGGGTTGTGAGAGTATGGAACGAGCTATCCAGTCACATCATTGAGGTGGATGCCCTGGCTTCTTTCAGAAGACATCTGGACGGAGATCCTTGAATGAATTAGCTATTAACTACTATAAGGGGCGAATGGGTCAAATGACCTGTGGCTTGTAACCTGTATAATGTTCTAATTATGCTTTATTTAGAGTCTTAACTTAAAAATGAGGATGTCCACTGGGAGATTATTGGGAAGAGCTGGTTACTGCTACATTCCTGTCTTTGTTTCACAATGTATTAATATTAAGGGGTAAATCTGAAAGAAAAAGAAGTTTCTCTTTAGCTGCTTCTATTTATGCAGCCAGCTTTCCCAGAGCTTAGATCTGTGCTCAGTTCCTCTTGGAAGGGCGACGCATTAACAGCTCTGATTAAATTAAAGAGCTCCGAGGAAAGAAGAGATGAAAATTAGGACCTTCCTGTGATGGAGCAAATCACCATGGCAACTAACAAGCTGTTAAAAGCAGCTTATGTTAACATTATGTTCAAATCATCTTGATCGTCATCCATGTGAAAAGATGAAAATGCCTTTTTTTTTAAATATACTCCATAAATTAGAATATGGTTTAGAAGTAATGAATTTATCAAATACTACAGAATGCAGAAATCACTGTTCACCAGATAACTCAAGTAACTGGTACCAACTTTCCTGCAGATGTTCAGCTTTAGACTAACTGTGGGTATTCGAATGGCTATTTAACAAGTGCTTACCTTGACATAGGAAGGCTGCTTCTCCAGGATGAGATCAGCTACCTTTTTTGATACCTGAAAGAATAATCACGCAAAGGTTTAACAGGGTCAGGGTTACTTCACACTTACTCCACAAGGCCATTATGTGATCAGAAAGGCTAGTACCAAGCAGAACATACGGTAAAGGAGAAAGTGTTCTGCAGCTCTCCTGAACCTGTGATTTCTCAAATATGCATGAGAAAGAGCTTCCATTTAACACTCAACTTTCATTTTAAAGCATCTTTAAAAGGGCAAATACGTCAGGAAGGAATGCCATCTATTCACAACTTCAAAGACTTCTTGAGTGTTAGGAACATACTCAGGGGGCCAGGGTACAATGGCATTGATTTTTTCAAATTACTGCTGTAATGTACTGTAAGATACCTACGGTGTATTCATTTCTGGTAATTAGCCACAGGCTACAGATATATGATCAATTGAGTTGCAGATGTAAAATGTTACTTTCAACCATCAAATTAAACAGGAAGCATGTGGCAGCACAGAAGGTTAGGAATCAAGGGAAAAAGATGCTATTATGTTCTACCCAAAATGCCCCCATGACAAAGTGAGAAATTTGTCAATGAAATGGCCTTTGATAAAGCAGCAAATACACGAAGACACAGTCCTTGTGGGAAATGATATACTAGGACAAAAACCCACACTCTGGTTTGGTCATACCTCTAAATTTAATTAACCGAGACTGTGCAAACGAATACTTGAAGATGTACATATCAAATCTTGCGAGCGTGTCTTTGTATGGCATCCAGGAAACTATGCTCATTGAAAGAGAAAAGAAAAGGCTTTTGGAACCAAAGCAAAGGGATGAATTTTGTGCCTCAGGGAAGGTCATTCTTAGTCCTGGAGGATTGGGGTGTGCGATTCAGAGGATGAGTGGATATTGCTATCATGCATGAAGAGATGTTTAAATATAAAACAATGAGTTTGAAGGCAAACTTTTAATTCCAGTGAATATCGGGGCTAGAGTAGAACATGAAACCACAGCATGGAACAAAATCATGCAAGGCAGAGTAAAGATCAGCAGTGAAAACTAATGAACTGGTGCCACATTCAAACAAGATCAGTCCTACCAAAGGCTGAGGCACTGGAATTGCAAGAGTGAGTGAAGCACATCTTTTGAAAGAAGCTCCCCAAATCCTGGCAAAATATTCAAAAGCGTTCTACTCAAAGGACAAAAATACTGACAAAAATAAAACAGAGTGGGGGGAAAAAAAGTCCTCAGTTTCCTGGTCCAGCTTGTCATGTCCTGTTGCAGCGATAAATGGGTGCCAGCAGTGCATCTCTTGCAGCCAAGTGTGCAGCTACTGTGCTAAAAGTGAAATGCTCCAGATGCTACAAGGCCAGTATATTTTCTAAAATAATCTTAGCAAAAGTATTTCAATTCAGTTTAATATACTGGAGCTGTACAGTAAGTGTCTCAGTAGGCTATTTCTTGCAGTTTATGTGAGATTAAACTTAGCTGACAACTTCTCAGGAATATGTATGATTGTTTTTCAAAGTGTGACCCATCCGTTACATGAGATGACACAACCAATTTTAACCCTTTGCCCGCCTGCTCAATGAGCTGGTAAGATGCTTAGGATATTTTGAAAGGGGAAACCATGGGGAACTGCTTTTTTTTTTTTTTTTTTTTTTACACATTTGCTCATGAAAGAGCCAAAAGTCGCAGTAAGCCCATGGCTCTGGAGTGGGCTCCTACAAATGACACTAAAGGGGTGAGAGTGTATTTAATAGTGTCAGCGTGGGATGGAATTCATAAGCTTCAAAGTCAAAAATGAAAGATTTATTTGTGGTGTAGCTGCAGAGGAGCCATTATTAGATTCACACTCCTTTGCCTCCTTAAAATAATCTATCTTTATGCATTATTTATAGATAATAAGCGAGTAAAGCTTGGATCAGCAAAGCCTGGTTACTTGCCACAGCACAGTGAACCAAGTGCGCCACCTATCTGTCATGTGGGAGGAGATTATCAGAGAGTGACTGTGCAGATCAGACACTGTTATGACAAACCTTTGTATTCAGTTAGTGTTCTGAAAATTTGCAGCACATCTAGATACCAACCTGCCACGCCACCTGTCATCATATTAATATTTCCTTAATCCCTTTTTTCCCTTCACAAGCCCACACCACAGATCATCCACCACAACTGCTGGGTACAATACACTGTATATACACTACATTAATGCACAACACTACAGCTTAAGCTATACCCAAATACCTAAGGACTACTAAATATAAAACTGACAGTCAACGAACAGCTGCATGTTGCTCTTAGGAAAAATAAATCACATCAAAGGCTTTGGTTTTCAAACAAATCGGGTACTTGGATTAACAACTCTAAAACGCGAATTCTATACCAGGGTACCTTTAAGCTTTTGTACAGTTCATAATGAGTCAGTCTGCTCCACTTCAGGTCTTAGTACAGATAGTCAATTGCTCCTACAAATTTCTGGATGTAAATTTGGGCTTGTATGTGCTGTGTAGGCATCATAAATTGGAATGTTGTTTGTCCTTGTTTTAAAATTAATGTATCCAGACATAAATCTTCTTTTTCACATTTCTTCCTAAATTCCTGGCCTATATACCACGATCTCACAGCTGGGATTCCTCTTATTTTCATCTCTCTCTGCAGAAGTAATAAAATGGTTCCACGTCATTTTCCCAATTTCCAGTTTTCTGCAGATAGCGCTGCAGTGCTGCTATACATCAGGATTGCTTGTGCAAGTAGAGGCCCTTATAAAGATGCTGTCCAGAAAGCAATGAAACATATTGTTTATGTCACAATCCTTAACAAATGACTGTGAACAAAAATTTAAACAATGATCATGAATGGGGCAAAAATCACCATCTTAACTCCATCATGACATAATAAAATGCATCATCCTTTACAAGAATTTGTAATAATCACATTTCTGAGTTATCCATAACGGCTCATAATGACAGTCGAAAGCTAAGAGCAGAACTCCAGCTAGAGAGAAGCAGGTTGAAAATGATGGAAAACGCCATTAAGGACTTGAGCGCTGACAAGGACTTTCTGCAGATGCAGCTCAGTAACAGCTGCTGCATGGTATGTTTGTGAAATTGTTTTTTTTTTATTATTTTTACTTAAAAGTAAAGTAATAGTAAATAGTATAAATTACTTTAAAAAATTGAGCTACCTCTCCTGGGTGGTGGATCAGACAGGAGAAGATGCTGTGCAAGCCTCAGACATTTTGTACTGTTCTGAAATCCTCTTATAATCTTAGCCATTTGGTTTTAGCTAACAGGTAATACTGGTGGATCTGCATTTTACAGTACAAAAAGTAGCTTTTGAACTTTACAAAACTTTAAAGAGCATTAAGAAAGGATGTTAATGATATGTTAATGTTTGCCAAGCAAAAAGCTTGAAAAGCTAACATGATCTGGAAAGGAACACCTCAGAATAAATCAATTAGACCCTGTCTGGTAAATGCAATGGATTAATCGACACAACTCTTCACATTGAGGCTGCTCACGTACAGTTTTTAAGGATTCTGATCAATGTGAACTAAAGATTGTTGAAAGATGAGCTTTGTTTCTTCTCTGCCATACAAAAAGCCACACTGAAGCAGAAAATACAAGTGGACTCTCTGTGGAAACTCGGAATTTGCATAACATCCAAATATTGCTACTCCTGATTGTGTCTGCAATGCCCAGCACTGCGGTAGAAGTATAATTTGCTGGGATATGTCTCTCACACAGAGCATATGGTTTGACAATGCCGATTCTAGGAGGACACACCTGTTCTCTCCAGCCCTCCCAGGCTGGTGAGAATGGAAGGTTGAATAATGATTAGCTAGTAACAATCAGGAGGCAGAAAGACAATGCACTGCATTTTGTGTGCACAGAAACCAATCAAGCACCTTGGTGCGAACTTTGGAATATTAATGCTAGACTTTCATTTTTTTTTAAACAATGGCTAAAATTTCACATCCATGTGACAAGTGTAGTCGATCCTCCCATCAGACAATATGGGCTTGGAGGACCTACGGACACAAAGTGTATTTTCTCTAATAAGAGAAAAGTGAATATCGAGTTTAGATCAGACCAACACGGTGTTTTATCCTAACCTGCCCTAGATGAATCCTTTAACTAAGTTGTTTCACTGCACCCCTGTACTTAACAGAGGAGACCTTATCTTCATAATGATTATATTAATATCACCAGCCGATTGTGTTTGGCCCAGGGTCAAGATTGAACAAGAGTCCTTAAACAAAACAAGCGCAGCAGCTGCCAGTGTATTTTTAGCCCTCTGGCTCATTCAGCCAAAAGTTAGTCATTTCTTTCAATAGATGGTATTTCGTCACGCCCAACACTTTCATGTTTACCCTTCTAGCTCCCTGGGAGGTAGACGCTTTCCCTGTCTCTTTCGGTTCTTTTACAGTGAGAGAAATCGGCTCTCTGCAGGTGCTGCCGATTGCTCTATTATGTGCGAAACGCGCACTGACATTTCTTTTGTTTCTGGAGTGATTACCTGCTGCCTTAAGTGGCCAGAGCCGACCACTCACCCCTCCAGATGCCTCTACTGCATCACACAGGGATCTAAAAGACTGCTTTTTTTTTGTACTGCAGCATTTAAATAAGAACCAAAAGGAACACAAAATTTATCTGCACTTCTGTACTAAACTTTATTATGTAACCTAAGTAAAATTCCAGCTCTTTCACGTGGACATTTATTAAAGGCTAACCAAGTCTTATCCTAAGATAATCACAAACTGAGGGCTACTGACAATTCCAATCTCCAGCAGTCGCCTTCTCATTTGATGGTATCCAATGTCTTCATTCATACTCAATGCTACAAGCATACTGTGTATGTAGAGTCCATGGAATGAAGCTTCCCCATCTTTTAGGGGAGATGCTGACTAAGAAGTGTTCAATCATAACCCCACAAATGGTAACTTCACAGTATTGGGTCCTCAGACAAAATGCATGAAACTGCATTATTAACTGAACAGAATTACTATTGCAACAAAACATCATCAGTTGATAAAACTAACCCATCTCACAACAGTCTAAACCCAGCTAATATTCCCTAATAGTGGATGAGTACTCAGAGTCTTGAGGACAATGCTGACTAAAGCTAATTAACAAAAACACATGGGAGGAGCAAGCTGTAAAAACAGTGGAAGAATGATTACGGATTCCCATACTAAAATCCACTTGAAAAGCTATGCAGGGTAACATGAATATGGGTGGATATAACATACACCCCTAAAGAAATTTGTTCTGTTACTGTACATACTTGGGGGTTTTTCAATTTCCAATGATCTGAGAACATTATGATGGATGCATTCATGTGTTTGACGATGCCCCGCAGCACAGACTTCCCCAGGCTACAATGAAGGAGGAGAGTCCAGTTCAGATCTCCAAACAGCAGCTTCTGCCTCAGACCAAAAACCACGTGCAGAATAAAGGGGAGGCCGCTTGAGCTCAGACTCCACAAAAATACAACTACAGCAAGATCAAGAGAGAGCTACACCATCGGTGGTCAGTCTGAGACATGGCTGTAAGAGACTGGAAGGAGTCTTACTGTAAGGCACCTTCAGTGGGATACAAGGCATCAGTCCCCTCTAATTGGAGACTAAGGAAGAAAAGCAAACAGGATCCAAAAACTGCAGAGATTTCAGGGTACCAGCGGGCTTTGTAAAGCTATGATTTGTGAACAGAAAAAGACGCCTCTGAGAAATGAAACAAAATCAGCAAAAGCTCGGAAGGATTTGCTCAAGAGCTCTATTGGAGTTAGAGGCTAGACTGTGAACAAGAGCTGAGCTCCAGAAAAATTTCAGCAGAAATGGGAGAGAGGAGAACCCAATGAAAATCCAAACAGAAGGTAATTAAGTGTTGATACCTAAATGCTTTGGACAGATAGAAACAAAAGCTCAGAGACATGGCTAACCAAAAATGTTAGCAAAAACCATCTTAGTGGATATACACTTTTGTGGAGAGACAGGAAAAACAGAGAAGGTGCAGAGCTATAAAATAAAGACTCATGAACTAAAGTTAGAGGATTTGAAAGTCCTGGAATATATATGGGTCTAACATAGTTTGAGAAAGATGATATAGACCACCAAATGCAGAATGTTGATTAGAATTCTTCCCTGTATAGTGACATTCACAACTGAGAATGTGCAAAAGAAGAAAGTGTCTAAGGGAGACTATCAAGTTTCCTATATGACTGTCAGCAAAAGCAACATAAACCAAAATGGTGTAGTTACTGACTACTTTCTTACCCAGTTTGTTGGAGCACCTACAAGAGGAACTACCTTTTTTTTTTGCTCTTATACATGAGGAAACTTATATGTAATGGGACTCAACAGTGCATTTACCTATAACCGATGCATATATGCTTATGAAACTAATATATTTAAAAGCATATATAAATAATAAACTGCATCAATGTAAAATTGGAAAATGCGATCTCGATTCACTTTGGGAAAAACAAAAAAATTTAAGCATTAACAATGACAGAATATCAAGGTTTTCCATCTCTCTGACTTAGATGTGCTAGATGTTGTGGCTCTGACTGACAGCAGCTGAAACAGCTAGGGTATCCAAATACAACCTAACATTTACATAATTTGTGGACTGCACGCAAGTTCAGCTTTTACAAAACCATAAACATAGTGCCTATGGCTTCATGTAAAATACAGGAGCTAAACTGTTCTTATGGCAGAAACACCACAAACAGTTCTGGGACCCACCTTAAAGAAACCAAATACACTTTGGATGCAAAAAAGAGTGTTCACCTCTCGGTTTCTTCCTCGAAGGGTTGGTTTTCTTCATCTATGTTACTCTGTTACTCTATTGACATTTAGAGCAAATATCAGTAAATGTATATATCGTGTCCATTAACTATGCAGACAGCCACCCTTGCCTCTCTAAGATAAATGCCTTCCATATTTTCTTTGTTACAAACCTGCTGGAAAATGCAATCAGAAGTCCTCAGAAGTGAACTATGGGGCACAACAGGAGACTTCTACAAAAACAACACTTATGTTCCACTATGTGCTGCTCTAGATATGAAGAAGGTGTACTTTCTCTATTATTAGCAAGGTGTACTATATATTTGTGCCATTTTACTATCGTTTGGATTAAAATCTAGTTGCCTCCAATGCATCAAATGTGATGCTTAAGAGCTACCCATTAATTAACACAAAAATAAAAACAATAATTCCCTTCATTTATATAGCACTTTTCAGACAAAATAATCCCAAAGCACTTTACATATATGACAGAAGACACCCCCATCTCCACCGAAGTTCAGCTCTATTCAGCACCAGCTACCTCACTCCATAACAGATCAGGAGGAGGTGTGAGAAATTTCTTCTCCAGCTGAGTTAAGGGAGAACTTTTGAGAGGCCATATTGTGCAAGCCCCATGTATAATTTAAGATGCACTGAAGGGCTAACAACTCTTCTCTTTTGAAAAGTGCCAAAGGACCTTTCAGTGACCACGCAGCCCAGGACCAGTCTCATCTGGAGGACAGAATCATTACACAATATGCAGGCTGCCTGCTTACAAAAACGGAAAACAACATCAAAGCTTTTCCTCACAGTGCGTCCTGTAAGCCCACACACATCACAGCAGATCGATTCCCTGCAATCAATGGACCTGCTCCCTCTGGCCCTACACAGAACACGAGCTGACCATCCAGTGAATTTAAACAATCGCATCCAGACACGTCAACACCACTGGGACACCACCAGCAATTGTGGAGAAATCAATAACACAGATATTGTGAATACATACAGCAGTAACACAGAGAAACCCTGCAGAAACCATTGAGTCCAGAGAATTATTGACAGGATGAAGAGTCAACTTCAGCTGCAGCATGGCAGGAAGGCAACACTGTCACTTCCCCCTACAGAATCATCACTCTGTCTCCTTTTTCTTGCTCTCTAAAACCCTTGTGTTTGTCTTTGTCTCCATGGACTGCCTGTTCTCCACTTTAATCCTGAAGTACTCACTACCTAACCCTCTCCTGTCTGCCTGCTTGACACTCACAGGGTTCAGTCATGTGTCCTACACTGTTCTCTCTCTATACCCTCTCTCCCTGGGCCTCTCAATTCCGATCTTGCTCATCTCTTCCTCACTCACCCCCCCCCACCTCCTCCCCAATCAGCACCCTTTCTCGCCAGCAAAAGCTCCAAAATCACCTCCCAGCATCTTAAAATCAGCCTCGTGTACACTGACCTCCTTCTTCCCTTCCTCCTCACTGCCTTGGCGGTATTCTTGGCCCCTGCCTGTCAAATGCACATTTCTTCTCCAGCTTGTCCTCATGCTTCTCTTTGAGCAACACATGCACGATCTTCCCCTTGCCTTTTTATTATTTTCCACCACTCCCAGTCCAGGCCCTAATAGTCTCCCAACTAGCCTATTACAACTCCCCCTTGCTATGTCTCACACCAACACTATCCAATTGCTCATTCAGAACTCTGTGTTGCACCTCATCTTTTCTCTTCCTTGCTATTCTCACGTTACTCGTCAGAATTGCTATCCAACCTAAAAACTTACGTTCTTGCCCATTTTAACCACTGCTGCTCTCATCTTGAGTCTCTTCCCTCTCCCTTTTTGACATCCCTTTTATCCTCCACTCTCCCTCTTCCATTTTTCTATCCTTCCCACTTCCAAAGCCTGCAAGCTCCCAGCATTCCAATACAGTGTTGGAGTGAATTCACCCACAGAAAACTCCTCAGCTCCCAACCACATTCTGTAGCTTGACCAAATCTCAAGTCTCATAGTTTGCACAGCACCTATGGTCTGTCAGCTCTCAACAACATCCTTCAGAGGTATTACAGAGTGGGAATGTTGGTTATTACATGCATTAGAGTTAAGGCATCATCTCATGCACTCCCTATAATGGCAGAGGCAGTGATTTCTAATGGATCTAAAACCTCCACTCTCCATTCTACTAACTGAACAAATTCAGGCCATTAAAATGTTTCTAGTTTAGCTGATTTTCTAGCTGTAGACTCATACATGAAAACCTTAGGATTGATGCTATGAATCCACTCCTATTATCTGAACCTTCTCCACGTCAAATAGAGTGGGATCATCCAGGAATTTAAGAATGCCACTCCGCAAGAAAATCAGTATATGTTTCCTGTCGATTGTGTCCTGAAGTTCACTGAGTCTATGAGAAGGAAATGTTTTATGTGTTGTATGTATCTTACTTGTGTCCCCGCCTCAGGTGTAGCATGTCTCACTTACTGCAGCTTGCTGTCTCTTCAGGTTATCCCTGTATTCTTCCAATTCTTGAAGATTTAGAACAGGAGGAAGTTTCTGTGAATAGACAAAAAAAAAATGAAATTGTTCGCTACAATTAACTCCAATCATGGGATTGCAAAAATAAGTTTAATTGATGTCATTAAGGAGTATCCTTAGAAATATTACTGATTTTCAATAAAAGGGTGCTTTAGAAAGTACATACAATTGCTTTGATTTCAAATGAATAAAAGTAGATTTAGGAGAACTTCACCCAGTTTACAACAGCTAACAGCAGTTTGGTGCACGGAACTGCTTTCCTCTTGGCTGAATTCTTATTCTGCTGGAGTTACAATATGCTGCTAAATCTAATGAGATTTCACACCGCCTGGAACCACCTAATCCATCAATCTGGCCTTGATGCAAACTATGTGAAACGCAAGCCCTAATTTGCATGAGAGGAATACCAAAGTCTCAGGAGCGGGAGAATTATCTTTGAGAAACGTTGCTTATTCTGCCTGCTCGGGGATAAAGGAAGCTTGGAAGTATGTCCGATTTGGCAGAATCTCGCAAAACTTTTCCATACTGTCCCCTGGGAGATGTCAGGCCCGTTCATGCATGGTCTCCTAAGTATTCAGAAGGTGCAGGATTGCCACGATACAAAAAAAACCAGAGAGTACCCAAGCTCACCTCTAACTCGTGCTGCACAATGTCAAATGAATCACTGGAAAAATACACTTCCTCTATACTATTAATTATTTCTTGCTCGGCCTGTGGGTCGATGGGCTGCTCTCTCATTTCCCGCAGTTCCTCCTGTTGAAGAGAAAAACAAAGTCAGTACAAGTTCTGTACATTGGGTTACCAGGCTACCCCATGGCACAGATGACAAGTAAGACAGTTCAAGACCACCACACCGTTAGAGCATGTGGATTTAATACTGCTGGAACACATCATGCTTGTATTCCAGGAAAGCCTGAAGATTAGTGCTTTCAAGTCATTCTGCTTTTGGCAAAGTATATGGATTCATGTAAGAAGACAATAACTTTTCAAAAGGAGACTTTTGAGAATGCAAAACACCGTTCTGCTTATTAAAGATCAATCTTTTACTCTTTAATACAATTACCGCACTATTAAATAGTCATTCACAGTTTCCACCAGGGGCCAAAAGGGACATGCTGCATGAAAGCACAGCGCTCGCACAATCAGGATTTTGTCACTTTGAAAATGACTCTACAACGCAGTGCTAAGAAAACCACAAGCCAGCAAGATGGGAGTGCAAATATTTAAAGCTGTCACGCAGCAGCTCAAAACAAAAAAAAAAGTCGGTGACTTGTATGTGGGTGGATGAGTAGGCAGCAGAAAAGGAGGAGTGGGTGGAGGGAATTTGGGGGGATGAATCATCGCTCATTGGGAAAGCCAGACCCGAGAAAGGTAGGAGACTGGAAAGAAGACAGTGGCAATCATTTCCTTTGCACACTTAAAGCCATCAGAATAAAGAGTGCTACTTTTTTGTCACAGTAATTCCTTCGGTCTGACTACACCGGGGGAAACTGGAAAGTCAGAAATGATTTAGCTTTTCTTGTCCTTCTGCAAGTGAATCTGACGAAGCAGAGTGAATGACTCATCCACAGCTGCTTCTAACTACAGGGAGTGTATCTTTTCTACCAATCACAAATACACGAATAACTCCCCATTTTAGTATGAGCAAATAAGTCATTGACATCCATGCATAGAAATCTCTGGAATTGTAAGGAGTTTTCCCCACTTTTAAATCGGCCCTGGTCAAACATAATGGAGTCGATCAACTCCACACTTAGCAAGTATGACAGTTGACAAAAGACTTAAACTGTCAACTCATATGAACCAGGAGAAGAAAGGATGACCTGCTTTTTCCACAACCAACTTCTTTGGAAAGGCTGAAAAATTGCTGAAATGAAACATGGCAGATTCCATCAACACACAAATATACTTTAGATTTGCTCATTTTTCAGATTTTGAATTGCCAACTGTTTTCGGTAAACATACGTGATTTGTGACGTTGCATGTTTTCCTTGTGTTTTATTGACTTCTTGGCTCACCGCTACGAAACCCCGTGACCGCACACAGGAACACAAGCGTACTCAGACTCCACCGCCAGACCCACTTTTGAGCCACATAACAACAATATTCCAGCTGCATCAACCAAGACAGCCTGAGACTTATTTTTGAGAAGCAGCTCCTTTTTAGGATACTTCTGTGCAAAATCTCCTTAGCCAAAAAACAATCTTGGTATTTATCTCTCCAAAGTACAGTTAAAATATTGTTAAATAATACTTGTATAAACAAAGATGTCTGCTTCAATCTACCAAAAACTGGTCTAGTTGGTAGTAATTATAATTATGTGAGACATTTTTGTCCTCTCATGGTACCAAATTGAAACATCTGACTTGCAAAAGAAACAGTTGTAATATAGTGGAGTAGTAATAAGTAGAATAAATAGATATTTCTCTCTTGATCAAGTGGAAACTATGCGGAAGTGAATTTAAAACCCAAGGACAGAAGGTACTTCTTTACACAAAGGGCTTTGATAATATGGAACAGGCCACCCAGCTGTCTTCTTAAAGCCAGCTCGCTGGCTTCCTTCAAATAACGGCTGGACGATCTCTTCAGAACAATGAGCTCCTAATTACCAACTATAGGCTAGATCACAGCCTCCACTCATTTTGAACCTTTATTATTTTCCAAATCAAGGGTCTTGAACCCTGGTGCTGGAGAGAACCAGCCAATCAAGACTTATACTGTAGGTAGACATAAATCACTGAGTTATTAAGGTCTAGAACAATTTAACCATCAACTAATAATCACATGGTACATTCAAATTAAGCAATGCAGAGTTCAGTCAAAATAAAAAACATAATATCCTTTAGCCCTTTTGGAACCAATGTTCCCTTTACTGAAATAGTATTTGCTTAATTACTTATGTGAACTGATTAAGTGCCTAAACAAGTGTTCCTTGATAAAAGGTAGAACTAGGTTGAACTATAAGAATGACAGGACTGGGGCTGGAGACCCTTGTTGTAAATAAAGAGAAAGAAACAGGTTGCATCTCAAAGCTGAAGAGCTCTGAACAGCCAGGAGTTCTAGAATGTGCTCTTTGACAACCTAGCAAGTGAGACATTGCAGATCGTTTCATGTCAGGAAACAAAAACATATAGGCCACCTAGAGGCTCCGCAGTGGGCACTGAGAGAACTGAAACACTCTGAAGATGAAAGAAAGATAAGTTAGTGGCATGATGGATAACGTGGCTCAAACATTAGACAGAAGTGACTCCCAGATTTTTCAACTTGAACACCATCGGCAGCTGCGATTGGACATTTCCAATGCTAGCTAATGTAGAGAATACAGTACCATGACCTCAGTTTTATCACTGTTTCCAGATGCCTAACTGTCTTCTGAAAGGAACTGTCCTTCAGTTCTCACATTCTCTTTCTGCTTGGCTCAGTATGTGCAGACACTCTTCAGTGGTAACAAGAAGACCCTTTTGCTGCCAAACACCAAGTCTTCTTCTTCCATTCAAGTTGAAACACACACTGCTTATTAAGAAATTAAATGAATAAACCAAAAATTGGGATTTGCAGGAAGTTACATTAATGACAGCTAATCAGACCTTCTGTTAATATACCAGATCCAGGTGTCTCAGTATTAGTATTAAACACAAACTCTATCATTTCCTCAGTTCAGCTTTGCAAACACCAACACAAATAGCCATTCCCTTGTGTTTTATGAGTCACCTCATTTTCCTCAGTCATTGCCTATTTAATTGTCACTTAATCAATGGATCAGTTTAATATTCACATTGGATCTCGGCCCCAAAGCAATACTGAATCAGTAAGACCTCTGAAAAAAAGTCTGGCTCCTAGAGTGCACAGAGAAGAGTGAAGAAGGGATGCTGACTGAAGAAAATCCTACAAATATACTCCACTTACTACAATTGCCTGTTTCTTTCATTAAGCCCTTTTTGAAGGATATCAATATAAGAGTATAAAGTTTTATAAGGAGTTGGCATTATCTCTCATTAAAAATGTTTTTAACATCCATTCTTTTCGTATGAATATTACTTCACACAAGCAGACACATTTTTGACAGAAACCTGCTCTGCAGATGAACCCCACCTCCTGTTAAACCTCACAAATAAATCATATAATGACATAAAGAGTCCTGAAGCACATCTAAAAACATCCTAAATATGTTGCACTGATGCTACAAGTTTTGACAAGGACACTAATCTCACACAAGACGTTTTTTGTTCACACTCAAATGTGTTAGAACACTTAAAAATATCTCATTTCAGAAGTCTTCAGTTTTTGTTTCCCTCATCAGATTCTCATGCTGCAAATCTTTCGACAGTAAAATGTGGTTATACAGCTCCACCTATTGGCCTCTAAGGGCCATACAACACAAGGAGCTCAAATATCACAGAAAACCTCGACAACAGTTTAAAAGTACCTTATGTGAGTTTACCCTCAAAGTAATTAGATTCTGTACAGACATCCAGTAAGAATAAAAAGCTAATTGAAGCACAATGTCATTAACCTCATAATCTACGCAAATCCCCTGCAAAGCACAATCTCAGGCATGAAAAAACAAACTGCATACAAATTCGATGCTACAGCTGTTGCTTGGACTAATTTTAAGTCTACAAAGCTTTCAATCGCCGTAATTTCCACACCAACATTTGCAAGGAATTTGCATACGTCTAAACCACAATGTTTGCGTGGAGGAAAAGGGAGAAAACGAATCAAAGTGATTCTTAAGAAAGTTATTTACATATGTATGTGACTTAGCAGCACTGAAAATTTACATACATGTCATGCAATTTAAAAATGACTTGAAACTGTAAGTACTGAGTAAACTACAACGCATTCAATCATTTTAGTACGTTTAGGTATGACAGTCTACACTTCATCACAAAGAGACTACAATCTACAATACACTCTCAGATTCACAGTCCCCACAGACTGCAGCTCCATTAGAAGATGGCAAGTATGACAAGGGGCTGACAGGGCACTTCACAGGAAGCCCCACTTCTCTTCAGCTGCTCATCTGACAACAACAAGCCCTGAACCGAAGGCAGATTTCCAGATTCACAGCGCAGGTGCAGGACGAGGAGCACACACACAAAGCCAAAGAGCCACCGTGTAATTCAATCTAAGAGTCCGGGCTGTAGTATCTCTCGTAGCAGGACATGTGCACACGTGCAACAAAATGCATGAGAAGTCATCTGTCCACATAATGCATCACCTGAGTCACCCATGTCGCACATTATTTAATCCATGTCAACTCAACTGACAAATTTATTCATTTATAATGATTTTCATTATACTGTTACTCTCTGCTTTCTGCTACTAAACACCTGCTCTTTCCCTGTTTGTCTGTTAACTGGATGGGATTGTTCCATCTTCTAGAACGTCACACTGAAACAAACGTCTCTAGAACCCCACTGACCACAAGCAGGGTGACAGTCCTGCCACAGATGTTCACAAAGGCATCTGCAGCAACATATAACTAAGACATAAATTATTTGGACCCCGAGACCCATCTCAGACACTTGTACTGTTCATTCACATCTCTTCTAGGCTGTAAGGTGTGAAGAGAATGCTTCGATGTATCCTCCAGTCCAGACAGCTGGGGGTCAGACACAATCAAAAAACAAAAACACTTAATCCATTAATCATGCTGCTGCAGATCCAGAGAACAACTGATTTCTCCTTTGCTCTGCAGAAATGTCAGTCACCATTCGAGAGGCTCTTTTCCAAAACCAGGTGTGCACCAT